AGTCATTTTAGACTTTATGGACTTGGACTTTTTTTCTTTCTTTCTTTCTTTTTTTTTTCTGTGAGTTCTTGTAAGCTAAGCCACAAGGGGATGGGGATGGGGTTGGGGTTGATGCCTCTGGTCTTTTCTTTCCTTTTCCTTTTTTTCTTAGGATCTCTGGTTTGGAAGTTCGAGTGATCGATGGGCATAATATTCAAAGAATTCATAACTGCGTTCGCATTGCCCTACATAAAGAGATTCAACTCTATGAGGTGGCATAATTTTCTACATTGACAACTTCTCTTGCTTTTTGCCCTTTCGCTTTTTTTCAACTTGGCCTGAGAATGGCGTTCGTTGTTTCGAAAACGAAAGCTAACCTCCATCTGAGGCGAAGCATTGAATGTGACAGATAAAAGGTAATTATCAATGAAGCAGAAGCACAAGCTTGTGAGAAATTTCAGAGTTGGTAGAATAGAACATCGGCAAATGAAATATCTGATCCTTAGTTTCATCACTGTCATCCCGGCAAATGAAATATCCGATCCATAGTAACCTCTGGAACATGCAACTTATAGTTAAAAATTAACTCAAAGTTAGAAATAATTAACACAATCTACTGAATTTTATATATATATATATATAAAATCCGTTTTCATAACGTTGGAGGCAAAAAAATAAAACATTTCTATAAAACTTTTTAGATTTTAAATTTCATGTTGCAAAATAAATAAATTAATTGTATTATTGTTATGGTTTGAAATATATATACCTGTGCATAGCACCGATCAAAACAACACTAGTGCATGCTCAGGGCGATTAGTTGATGATCAAATATGAAGACGTACGTCACTCGGCCTAAATAATTAAATTACGAGCTAAAACATTACTTTTTAACATTAAAGGACTAACTATGACTAAATTTTGTAAAAGACACAAAAATGGTAAAGTACTATTAGCCTATAGGGTAAAGTTAGCAATCTTGCAGCGGTATATCTTACTTCATAGTGGCTTAAGAAGTATAAACGGAGACAAAAAAACATTTATTTAATGAAGAGGGGACAAAAAACAATAGAGAACGTAGAAATACAAAATTAATGAAGCAAAAAAGTATCACAAATTGTAATTTCAAATTCAAAATGCTATAATTAGCATTTTAATGCTTGAACAGGTTTAAAATAAAATGCTCATAATCAAACTCTCTATCATTCTGTTCTTAACCAACACAGGTATTATGAGATGAAAAATGTTATTTAATTACACTCACTATGTAGAAATCATGAGTGGTTTTACTTTTTGCAAAAAAAAAAAAAAAAAATCTTAGAATTCAAGGAAATTAAATTTATTTGATATTAAAGTAAAATAATATAGAAAAAAAATCACATATTACCATGTCTCATCAAAGTTAGATGTTATAAAGAATAATCACTGCCTAGGAATAATTCTTTAAATAAAGAATAACTAAAGATTGAAAACATAATAGAGGACTTTCTAAAGAAAAAGGTTAAGAGTAGTACTTGCCTTGGAATATTTGAAGTTGGATTTAGAGATTGATAGTTAAAATTGAGAATAAGAATCTCTAACTTTCGTGCCTGTGGTGAGTTCCATTCGTTACAATTACTTACAATAACATATTGGATTTTTATGTTGATTTTATTTTTATTTTACAATTTGTCTAAGGGCACTCATTAAGATATATTTCAAGTGTTATATTTTTGAAAATATAAGATTAATTAAAGAAAGTAAATAAATATGAGAGAGGGTAGACAAGAATAAATTAAAAAAGTATAAAAATGTAAGGAAGGATAATAATTGTTAGTATAAGTATATATATGGTAGCTTAGGTGAATAATAGGTGTGTTAAAGAGTGCCTTAAAAGCACTCATTAGAAAAACCCTTTTATATTTTACTTTGTTTTAATTGATATTCTAGTTTAGTTTAATTAAGATTTGATTAATACATTACCTCATTTAGGGGATTAGAGGTTAGTTGTTATGTGAAAGTTAAGTAAAAATTAGCACCCCAAAAAAATTATGTAGAGAAGGGGCGTACAAAGTTACCATTAATTACATTTGGCAAGTAAGATGGGAAAATTTTATTAAGTCATTTTAAATAAGCGTATATAAAAATAGAATTTTGAAAAATTTTGGGGGTCGCTGCCCCACCTCTCCACTCCCCTCCCTCCGTCCTTGTCAAGGATTAATATACTAACATAGCCATGGATTACTCTCAAAAAAAAAGAAAAAGAAAAAGAAAAAGATCTCGGGTTTGTAGCCATAAACGAACTACCATAGCCAAAGTTTATTTGCATCTTTTCAGGAAAAAAGAAGAGCTCAATATTTTCCGTGAATGTTGAATAATCATAATCAATACAATTCACCATTTGTTTTTTTATTTTCATTTTTTGTGTTACACGTTGATAGGTATGATGATTAAAAGCGGTAATTACATGTCTCATATTCGTACGATGATAAAAGCGGTGTTTAAGCCTATAATTAAGTGTCCTTGTCAATTATCATGGTCTCACTCGGGCAAACATGTAAATTGTATAACTGCTACAATAGGTTTCCAGACATCGTTAGTAATAATTATGAAGTTTTTCGTCGGATAGACGTGACAGCTGAATCTTGTAAAGATGCCACATCAGCGTCCGTGTTCCTAAATCCATGATAATTGACGAGTTTACACATGTATTAATTCTTGAAGTGACATTAGAGATTTCCAATCAAACTTGCCACATATATAAAAAATATTTTTGTGTATTTATGGACTTTAGCGTATATTAAAGTGGATAAACACGTTGTGCAATAACAGAGCATTATTGTGGTTGATTCCCATTAGGTGCAGACGAACAGACTAATAACCGCTCGTAGTAGCGATCAACATGCATCATTTTCAAAGAATCAACACTTCATGTCACGTTTGTTTGTTGATGCATTGTTAACTCAAGCAAACTGATAACAAAATCGATCAACAAATCAAATGCTTTCTTGAATTATCAATGCATCACACGTGTCAGCTGTATAAACACAGAATAGGTAAAACAGAAGGTAATTTCGAAACAGAAGATTCTAAGTGTTTATTCAAGGACTTGTCTTTATTAATAACTATGACAGTTGAGCCATATAATGAGTTAGTAATTAATGGTACGCTAACAAATGAGTTACTCGAAGAAATACGTTATTGAAGCTGGACATCAATCCTTCAAAACAAAAAAAGCTAGACATAAAAAATGTTGCTAAACCATTTCATGTGTTACATGTCATTTATAGGTAGGATTGCAAACAAATCAAACCGCTTGATTCAGTCAAAACTTGACTCAAAACCGGTCAACATCGAGATCGAGCCGACCAAGCTGAGTTTGAGCCAAAAAAGAGAGGCTCTAGTTCATTAGTTCGCAAGCCGCTTGATCATATAAATATGTGTGTGTGTATATATAAATTTTAATTTAATAGTGAAATTACAAATATATTTCTAATATTTTATTATTTGTTATGGAAATTTTATTATTTTACTTTTTTAAAAAAATATAATAAATTTTTTTAATTTTTTTAAACTCGAATAGGGTGGAACTCTAGTTCTACTAGACTCAAATTTGAAATCAAGATTGAGTTCGAACTCAATAAAATTGAGTTGAGACTCGACTTAATTAGGTCAAAATTCAACTCGATTCGATTTCGAGCTCGATCCTATTCGAATTTGAGGTCGAGATCGAGTTTGAACTTAATAAAATTGAATCGATACTCGACTCGATTGGATCAAAGTTAGACTCGATTTGACTTGTTTTTTTAGCCATATTTATGGGAGATGTTGTTGCTTTCGGTTATAAAGACGGAGGATCTTCATTCAAACTTTCATAGTGTTTTTTTTTCTTTCGAATTTCCGTATCATTGTCACTTCTTTGAGCTGAGAGTGGAGAAGAAAAGAAAAACGTATATTTAGCCCCTTTTTTTTTTTTTGTCAAACACATATTCAGCTTATTTGACTTGCTACACATATTATAAACGAGAAAAACGAGATAGCAGAAAGGGTGAAGGAAGAATATGAATACAGAACCTCTATAATTCTTGGGAGTTCAACCAATTCATAATATATTAATGTTGAAAAATTCAAACTTATTTCAGGCATTCTCTCCGAAAATCATCAATTAACTGCATAACTACAGCTAGTTTGGACTCAAACATTACTCCGCAACCATTATGTTTCCTAATTAATTTGTAGCTGTAGGGAGGACAGACAGTTTTCGAGAAATGCTTTTACACTAACTAAAATATGTGCCACGATTTTGGTAGAAGCATTCGCGGAAAACGGTTTTGTGTAAGATGAAGTCATGCTATCAAATCGAACTTTAGAAGAATAGTTTGAGAACATATTTACTAAAATACTATCTTAACAAAAAAACTCCTTTCTTCAAATTTTTTTTTTTCTTTTCCAATAAGGAACTCCATAACCCCTTCATAAAGGAAAAATGACACTGCATAGACAAGCTCAAAAGAGGGAGCTGTGAGGACACGAGACAATGGCAAGTACTTGCCATGTGTGCATGAAAATTGTTTCGGTAGAATTTACTTTTTTGCGATCACAATATAATATTGTGATCAAGTCACTGAGTGCAAATTTTGACTCAGTTTTCTAAATATTTTTGGGCTCCATTTTTTTTTTTCATAGAACTTCATTAAACTATTCTTCTTGAGCTTGTGACTTACAGTAATATACTGTCTCTAAATTTGTTTGAATAGAAGATTAGTTAAAAAAATTATTTAGAATAACACAGTAGCACATTTTATAATTCTTTGATATAAAGGTGGTTGATAGAATAAAAAGGATGGAAAAAAAATGAGTTTATGATATAAGTAAAATAATATTTACAAATAATGAACTATCTAAGCACCTTTTTTTAATGGAAAAAGGTCAAAATCAACACTATAAGAAGTGAATTGTGACAACTTTTAGAGCCACATCTATAAGGAATAATCAAGGAGTGAAAAATTAGACATAAAGGTTTTGTTAGCCCATATAAATTTGATGCATCCATATTTTATACTCTCTACTCTTCAGTCCACAGAAAATACACGAAACATACACATTTTGTTACCATCTGATATTTGCAGTAACAACTCTCAATCCAACACAATGATGTCACTTGAAACCAACGTAAAACAGCTCCCCTGTATAAAAGTCCAAATCAGCATATAAATCAACTCTAAGATTTGTGAACAACTTTTTTTATGTATAGTCTATAACTCATCCCAGTCTCGAAGCATCACAACAAAAGTAAGCCCCGACCGGTAAGTGGTAAGAAAAGCATACATCAATGACAGGGCTCTGCACATGGAATCAGCTATTAGCCCCCCACAGACTAACGCATCAACACTTACTATAATTGACATCATATACTAAGAGATCTTCATTAGTTTCTGTTCAGGAGTTCCTCAATCATCTGCAGTGCAATCCTCTGCTCTTCATCCAAGGAGTCTCCGTGTGATGATGATGAAGTGGTGGTGGTGGTGGTATTGGTGGTGGTGGTGGTCTCCGGGGGTATTGCCCGCTTGAAGCTTGGACATTGCTGATGATCATTAACGTTATTAGTACTAGTATCACTACGATCACTAGCCTTCATGCGAAGATCAACAGTCATCACCCAATTGGAATCTGGACGCGCCCCGGCTCGCTTTTGCCAAACCCCAATATGGGAATTCTCGGTGTCAAGCCTTAGGCAAGTGAGCGAAGGAGATGGTGATTTGCAACACTTGCGAAGCTTTGCACCTAGGACCGCCGAGAGAGCAGCAGATGATGATGACGATGATAGATTGGAAGAGGAGGCATGATCAGTATTGGCAGTCTGGTTCATTTGGACTGGGAAGTTGGTTTTTGCATTTCGTCCGCTCATTAAAACTGCTGCTTCATCATATGCCCTGGCTGCCTCTTCTGCAGTCTCAAACGTCCCCAGCCAAACCCTCCTCTTCCTATAACACACAAAAATTGTACTAGTAATCAAAGATGATTCAAGAGAAAAAAAGCTAACTTTGGCTTGAAATGCGCAAAATTTTCATGTCAGACTCCGACCAACTATTAGTGATGAGTGGTATATATATATAGAGTGTAGTAGTACAGTATGGAATATGATGAATATTGAAATAGATAGATTAATGATGAGCAGTTAAGGAGAATATACAGCAGAGGATGGCGAATCTCAGATACCCAAGAACCCCAATGGCGTTGCCTGACTCCTCTGAACTTCTTAGTTTGTACCATGATTGTCAGAGGAAGGAAAGCGAAGTAGCGCTGGAGGTGCAGGAGTTGATGACTAGAAAGTGAGGATTAAGGGGAGAGAAACGAGGGAATACTTATATATAGAGTACATATTATGATGAGAAAGAGAGGAGTGACTTAGATTGCACGGACGTACTCCTCCGTGGATCACCTAGACTAGTCTTGGAAGTTGGGTGATTATGTCTTGGGTGGTAGATTGCTGGGAGTATTGTATGGCTATAGCCTGTAGTAAAGAGTAACCATTTCATTTAAACAAGTTACAACTCTCTATAACGATCGAAATGGGAGCTGCTAAGAAGATAGAATTAAGTGTATGGCTATTTTAGATTGGTGAAAGGGACAACTGTCTATTATTGAACTATCAATCTGTTTGGTGACGAATTTAGGGGTTCGTAATTAAAAGAGGAAATTTAAAAAGACTTGTGGAGGAAAAATGTGGGTGCATTTGCCCAGCCTATGAAGTCAGGAATCACAAGGATTTAACGGTTGTTGCATCTCTTGAAGAATCATGGGGGCCAAAATTAATTCAACTGTTTAGGAGTTTTGACAACCATCTTATCTTATTGGGTAGTTGATAAGGATATTTCTTCTTTTTACAAAATTATCCGAGAGTTAATTAGAATAGAATACATATAAGTGAATAAGGAGACATTGATATCTCTTGGCGCTGAACTTTTCTTCTTCGTTATTATTTTTCTATCAAGAATACAAACTCTAGTTTCACATTTTTATCGGTCGATTTTCTCAGTGAGGAGTGGTTAAGGCATTTTCAAGTTGAAGAATAATCAAGACTTTGATTCAACAATAATTGTGAGATCTAATTTATTTTTACTGTTCTTTTTTATACATTTATGAGTATTTGTATATTTCATGAATTAATTGTTGATGGTTATCCTGCTGGATTAGATATCCAGGGTCCGAAATTTAATTAATTAGATAATCTACTTCCAATAAAAATGTCAAATGCATAATTGTTTGAGTGTTTTAATATTTGTGGCAAGTGGCATAATTGGATTTATATGAGGGTAATATATAATCTAATCTAAATGAACTAAACTTGTGAATTTGTTGGTTAAAATTGGTGGCCTTTCTAAATCTTAATGTTGTAGATAGATTAAATTCTAAACACTTATTTAGCGTTGTCTATTGGCAAGAGAAGAAATTAAAGAGTTTGTTTTAATTACCAAGAAAGCAAGGATAAGGCAAGGCATAGTCAAAGCTTGTTGACGATCATGATAAATTTATTTGTGGATATATGAATTGATTTTTGTATCAATAATTGAATCAAAAGTCGAGATTACTCCTTTGACTAGAAGATTTGTTTTCATTGATTTAGTTTTACTTAATTTTTTATTATTAATTTCTTTTTTATTTATGGTGTGGTTTAATTTCTCCAACCTCCCCATTTTGATTCTTAAAATTGTAAAGGGACTCAATCCACCAATTCTTGTGGATACAACTTTATTCACTACTATTCACAAATTTCTATTTTTGCTAAGTAGGAAATCTTATTTTATTGGATTTAACACCCACCACACCACTCGAACTCAGAGTAAGAAATTAAACGAATCATGTATATATGTATATATATATATATATTGACGCACACACAAAAATTAATAAATTAGTACATGATATGCAAGTAAACACACGTGGTATATGGAGCACTACTTTATTAATTTGTGAGAAAATGTATGCTATCATTTTAAGGAAGGCGACTACTATACTTTCTTGCTTCTTTTGTAGAAATTATAGCTTCAAGGGTAGTTTTGTTAACTAGATAGTTACATACCCTCTTATTTTTAAATATTAACTTAATTTATGTTAGTAATTTTCCAATTGAAATTAAGTACCAAATAACTAAACACCATAAAAAATCATCGTATCATAAATATCCTTTACAAAAACTAATTTTCATGAATGATATTTTTAAACTAACCAGTAAAATCTCTACAAATTAATACTCGATCAATTAATAACCTATATTAAATAATAATTTTTTGATCTCGACTTGGTTAACGAGGTAAATTAATAAGTTCGATAATTTTTGAAAATCTTGTATAACTCATCAGTCCTATTCATATCATAAATTAATAATTGACTAAAATTACACATCATATTTTCCTAAAATACGAGCCTATTATAGTTTCGGATAGCCTTCTGCCCTAGCATCGATACTAGAGTGATGCTGCACAAAGAATGCATATTAATCCATACAATTAATTTGCCAGTTATCAACAGCCAAAAAAAAAAAAAGAAAAAAAAATTTAGCCTCGCACTTATTTCATCAGGTCGTGATTGCCACTTCACCTCCCTTTAATAAATATTGTTAACCACTTGTTTAGACAACAACATTGAAAAATAAAATGCTAATCATATTTATAGTTTATTCACGTACAATTTTTCAATTGGAAAATCTGGATTGACACAATTGCATGAATGCATGTGTAGTGATCAGTACTAATTTATGTAGCAGCTACGACCCAATTTATATTAGTAATTGCTGCTCGCTCCTTCTGATGATAGCCTTTACCGGTTACCTCCTCTCAATTGGGTAGCAAACGCACTCAATTTCATGCTGAGTTGTACTGCCAGTGGTCTCTCCTGCCTACGGCTACGGTGGAAGCCAATGGTTTGCATTGCAATGGTACCGTTTAACAGAAAGGATCTCTTGTCGGCGAGCTCTTCATTTGTTGCAGGGCCCTAGTGGTCCTCGAAAGGTAGTTCCACCATTGCCAGCCCAAGCAGAAGCTTTAGAAACCAGTACACTTCTGCTGTCTCGATCTTCATGCAGTATTGGAATTTTCTTCCCTCTTTCTCTGGCCGCTATTGAATCCCTTTTGGTGGGTTTAGTGCAGTGAAACCCCACTTTGGTGCGTCTGCATGTGCATGATTTCCTTTCATATACGAGAATGCAAAAGCAACCATTAAAACAAACCCATAGTGACAGAGGTCTTTATATACCAAAGTTTTTATAATGAAGAAACAAACTACTAATTTAAATTCATACGCACTATTTGACTAGCCAACGACGACGAATTATATTTTTGCCAGGGTTGCAGCTGAGTCCGAAGCAAGAAACGGAGAAATAACTACTCTATGTTTAGGTACATAGCGGGGGAATTGATGATATTGTGCAGAATTTGTGGTCCAGTTAAGGCCAAATAAATGTAATGCAGTAAATAATAATGGACCCAAATAATTATTATTTGGACCAAAATAATTTTTTCAAAGCTGATTAATTACATATAAACCAAATGTTGTACGAGCATTAAAAAAAATGTATGATTGTGTTACGTGACGACATTTATGAGAGATTATAACGGGGAAAATGACGTTCCTCAATGGGATGATGGGATTGGAAGTTTTAAGGTACAATACAACCAGCCTAGACATGGGCTCCGCTACTTTTAAGAGCAAGCTGCTATATATCTAAAGCATCTGCTTAGGTAAATTACTCATTATGAATGACTGTGAAATGATGGAAAGGGGAACAGGAAATAGCTAGCTAGCTTCATTATTTGAGTCTGCAATTAATTAGTTATCATCAGAATAATGAATTAACCCGGGTACATATAATATTAGTCTAGTACCTAGCTGCTAGCTAGCAGTTATCTTCTGGACTTGGTAGTATGAAACCAATTCCGAATTTGAAGTCAGAAAATAATTATGTTGTTGTTTTTTTTTTTTTTTGAAAAGGACAAAGTGAAAAAATATTAGTAAGAAAAGAACCTGCCTGCCAACTTTCGTGCATTACTCAAATCTTTTAACCAGTACAAGTTGTGGGCTTGATACTATTTGGTCATTTATGGAGCATTCATTTATGGGGCTCAAAATATCAAAATCATGCTGGATATAGTCATCCTTTATTTTTGCTTTCGCCCTTCTTCTTTTGGAGCTGGGGCTTGTTACTTAAACTTATGCTAGTAGTTTCAAAGGGAGATTGCAGCCAAATATCTTTTACAGAAGCACTAGAAAATCAGCAGATCTTTTAGTTCCTATAGTCTTTTCACTTCAATTCACCTAACCAATGCATACTTTCTGTTGCATTAGTTGAATTTCTTCGATCTCGTCCTTGAGAAATTGAAGTAAGCGGGAGGGATCAGCAGTGGTAAAACTCTATTGACTGATCTGGCAAATACAACCCAGATGGCCAGCGAAGTTGAAGTTGGTTCTCACTCACAAAGCCAAAAGTAAACAAAGTTATGTAAAGAAGTTTGAGTAGAGTGTGTCATGTTTACATACAGGATCGTGAATTCTGAAAGCAAAATATCTGCTTCGAAATCAACAGGATCGTAACTCCCAAGTTGTGGTCCTCTCCCTCTCGTTGAGGATGAGGTTTGGCAGCGTAGCCTGTTGTTGTCGTCTTCACAATTTATTCCACTGCTGTAAATCCTCAATATAATTGAGGTTGAGGGACAACTCCACATACTTGCACGGTTGATAATGCGGAATAACTGCTGTATAATTTGGCTAAGATTCGTAGTTGTGACCCCCCCCCCCCCACAATCTCTCTCTAACCTGTCAATGTGAACGAAATATAACACCTGAAATATTAGACAAATCGAAAAAATAATTAGGATTAATCTTGCAAAGAAGGAGTAATTTTACATGGAACTTGTATGTATACATCACAACCGGCTCCCCTCAGTTCTGCACACCACTACTCATTCATGATTCATCCATTCATAAGGCGGCCGCGGCCGGTCATTTCAAGCCTTGACGCTTTTGAAAGACTAGAAAAGTCAAAGTCACATAGTAATATATATGTTGAAAATTCTTTGGCTTGCAATTTGCTTTTCATCTGCAGTTCTTGGTGCATAACATTAAGGTGGGGGAAGGTGGAGAGAGATGAGCCAAGTATAATTCGGCATGCAAGAAAAGCTGTTGCCAACTTAAAGCAATAATGTGGGGAGTAGAGTACATTTTTCTTTGTCATGATAGCCCGGCTGTTGCGATGAGTTCAATTCTGCAGGCCAACGACATGGATGTTCTATGGCTTGATTAATTAGGTGTTACGATAATAATTTATTGCTTAGATTTTCCTATTCAATGTTAAAAAAAGAAAAAAAGGAGAAAAGTTCAACTGTTTTTCTTTTTCTTTTTTCAAAAGGAACATTTTTGTATTTGGTTTTTTCTCCTGGCTAATTAAGAGTTTGCCAGATTATCTGGGCGGTGCTTTTTCAGTAAGAAAATAATGAAAATGCTGAATTCACCTTCCTTCACTTTAAATTAACTACTCTTTATACAAGTTGCATTTCTAACTGGACGAATCAACAATACTTGTGATGCACCATTTTCA